TATATATATATATATATATATATATATCTGTATCGCGCTTTGTGCTTGGGGTCGTTTGGGGAAGCCTCTTGGAGGCCTCTTGGGGGCCTCTTGGGGCCCCTAGGGGCCTCTTGGAGGCCTCTGGGAAGCCTCTTTGGGGCCTCTTGGGGGCCTTTGGGGGACGTCTGGACGCCTTTTTGGAGCCTCTTGTGGCCTCCTGGGAGCCTCTAGGGGCGGACGGCTGGAATGTTCGTTTCGTGGTCCCGAAAGGCCCTTCTTGGGGCCGTCTTGGAGCCCTTCTGGGTCGTTTCGGGCGCCTCTTGTGCCGTGTGGGGGGCTTCTTGGGAGCCTATGGGGCCGTCTCAGGGCGGTCTTGGAGGCATTTTGGAAGGGCTTCCGCGCTGTGAAGGCGGAATAATCGTATGTGCTAGAAATGCACGTTTTCCTAATGGAATTTGAAGATTTGGGCCTCCTGAAGGCCTCCTGGGAGGCCTCTTGGAACGTCTTGGCGGCCTCTTGGGCCGTCTTCTGCCCATGTCTGGCGTCTTGGAACGATCTTTCGGCCCATGTTAGGCGTCTTGGAACGATCTTTCGGCGTCTCGGGGCCCTCTTGGACCGTCTTGGGGGCAACTTGGGCGGCCCCAGAAGCTGTCATGGACTTCTAAAAGGGGCATGGTCGGCCGCCCCCCCTCCACATCGACCGGACCAGGCTCCGGGGGGAGGGGTTTGGGGAGGGGGAAGCATCTCACACGCCGATGATCCCCAAGGGGTCGGCGGATTCCTTTTGTGGGTGCGTTTACTAAGCAGCTTCGCGTGTCGGGGTGGTTCTTATCGGGTCGCATGTTCTGCCCTCTGCGTAGGGAATGTCACGTTCGCTGGGGGCCGCAAGCGTCGCATGTCGCGCTGGATTGTCTGGGAACGTCCAGGAATGATCAAAAACACCTCGGAGGTCAGCCGAATCGTGACTAGGTGGGATGGGGGGCTGGCCAGGGCCTCAACGGCCGCTATCGCGAAAAACAAGGAAGCGCTCTCGAGGAGGAAAAGGGGGTGAGGCATGGAAGGGCGGACGGAGGGAGGGTTAGGGACAACGTCAGGGGAGGTTAATTGCGTAGGCTCGAGGGGGGAATGCGGGGAACGCGTCGACCATCGCCCATCCATCGCAGGTAGGGGCCCGATAGTCCGCCCCGCAAAGGACGGTGCCGCTTCGCTATCGTAGGACCATCGCCAGCATGTGGTGTAGGACCCCCCTCAACCAGAGAGGCAGTAAAACGACGCGAAGATCGGGACAAAATCGGATCGGGATAACTCGAAATCTCGGAGAATCGGCGGGTATGGAGGATGTACTGGGCGCCGCGGCCGCTCTAGAGCGTTCCGGAACGCTCTGGGAGCGCTCCGGAACGCTCTGAGAGCAATTTATCCAGATCTTAGCCCTGTTTTAGGCAGGCCGCCCTCTCCCCGTGGAGCCGGAAAGCGCGCCCCCCCCCCGCCCAACCAACCTTCAGGAGGGAAAGAAACACACAGACACAATTAAGCGTCGATCCCCAGGAAAAGATGCGAAACTATGGGAAGTGGGGGGGAGGACAGAAACCCAGAAAATATGGGAAATATAGGGGAATGATTTTATTTGTGTGTATTTATTGGTGTGTCCTGGGGACCCTTTCAACCTGGTGCCCCTTCCCACGGGGCCTCTTTCCCACGGGGAGCGGGGCGGGGCCACCCACGGAGCCTCGATTCCCGACCTGCGAGAGGAGGGGACGCCTCGGAGGGCGCTCCCAGCCCACAGGCGACCACCGGGGGCACTCCTGCGGCGGCAGGTCGTGCCGTGGGAGCCTCGCGTGCCCTCGCAGCTCTGTCCTCGGCGCAGCCTCCCTCCGCCATGCGGGGACGGGGCTCCATGTGCGGGCGGGTGCGGTAAAACGACGCGAAGATCGGGACAACATCGGATCGGGATAACTCGGAATCTCTGGGAATCGGCGGGTTTGGAGGATGTACTGGGCGCCGCGGCCGCTCCAGAGCGTTCCGGAACGCTCTGAGAGCGCTCCGGAACGCTCTGGAGCGATTTATCCCGATCCTAGCCCTGTTTTAGACGGGGCGCCATGTGCGGGCGGGTGCGGGTGCTCTTTCTGCTGCCCCGTGCTTCCGCCTCTCCCCTCGCTCCTGCCGGAAGGGATGAGGGGGCGACGGGCGCGAGGAGGAGGACGAGGCGAGGCGGAGAGGGAGGCAGGAGGGAGCACGAGGGCGGAGGAGCGCGGGGAGGAGGACGAGCACGAGGGGGGAGGAGGAGGAGGACGAGCACGAGGGAGGAGGAGGGAGGAAGGCAGGGAGAGTGAAGGATGGCGGGGGTCTCTCGCCTGGCTCTCCTCTCTTCTCCCTCCCGTCTTCTCTGGGAATCAGTACTCTCATCGGAATGTGAACAACCACCAGTTTGCGGAAACGCGGCGGCGGCGGGCGGCAGCTTGGCGAAACCTCGCCAGACTCGCCCAGCGCACGGTTCGGGCCCGAGGCGGCAATGAGGCACAACGGGCGGCAACGTGGCGCAACTTCGCTGGACCCACCCAGCGCACCAGGCGGCAACGAGGCAGCAACGGGCGGCACCGTGGAGAAATCTCGCCAGAACGCCCAGCGCACGCGGCGGCAACGAGGCGGCAACAGGCGGCATGTTCGCGAAACCTCGCCAGGCCCACCCAGCGCAAGAGGCGACAGCGCGTGGCAACGGGCGGCAACATGGCGAAGCCTCGCCAGACCCACCCGGCGCGCGAGCCAGCATCCAGGCGGCAACGGGCGGCAACGTGGCGAAACCCCGCCGGACCCGCCCAGCGCACGAGGTGGCGACGAGGCGGCAACGGACGGCAATTTGGCGAAGCCTCGCTGGACGTACGCGGCGGCACTGGGCGGCAGCGAGGCGACAGCGCGGCGCCTCTTGGTGGCAACGTGGCGAATCTTCGCTGGGCCCACCGATCGCCAACGAGGTGAAAATTGGCGTCCACTTGGCGAATTCTCGCGAAACCGGCCCAGTGCACGAGGCTGCAACGAGCCAGCACTGGACGGCAACGTGGCGAACCCTCGCTGGGCCAATCCATCTTCTCGGAGACAGGTTCAAACGCCTAAGTGCAGCCACTTGTTTGAAGACCGTATTTTCGACAATCCCCTCGGATGTCCTATATTGGCGAACCGCGCGGACCGTCGAAAGGGTATGTTTATGCAGTTGTTGCTTCCATCGTTCCAAACAGATATCCATGCAAGTCTGGATACATGGTGCAAGACCCAGCGCGACCCCAGGAACAGCAGAATTCTTCCAGCCGCGTAGACCGTACTAACTTCCAACACAGCGATTTCGTTTGATCTCGGCGTGTTTCTGTTTACTCATTTGTTGGGGGTCCAAAACTCGTGTGGTGACAGACCGTGCGGTAACATCGACATCTCGAAGGACCTCACCGCACGATCCGTCACCGCACAGTTTTGGGACCTCGAAGGCCCCGGTCGTCCGAGACATCCTCGGAGGACGGCCCGAGTCTCGAAACCGTGCGGTCACTCCTAATCCCGTGTTGCGATCACCGCACCGTTTGTGGACCCCCGAATTTTTTGGTGACGTCTGGGGTGCTTGGGCCTTCTCGCAGCGGTCTGGGATCAGGATCTGGCCCGTGGAGTGGGAAGGAGCCGGGCGCTTCGGAAGGCAGGCAAGGAGAGTCGTCGGGGGCCCGGGGCATGGTCGTAGCGCTCGTCGGCGTCGTCGTTGGAGGCTCGACGATCAATGTTTTTGAGCGTTTCTGCTTTTTTCAGGAGGGAAAAAAACACACAGACACAATGAATCGTCGATCCCCCAGAAAATATTGGAAAATATGGGAAGTGGTGGGGAAGACAAAAACCTAGAAAATATGGGAAAATATGGGGAATCTTTTTATTTGCGTGTATTTATTTGTGTGTCCCAGGGCCCCTTCATTTTTGGCCTTCTTGGACCTCCTGGGGCGCCTTCGTGGCCAGCTGGATCCCTTCAAAAAGTCTGGGCAGGACGCGCGCATGGACACGTCAAGGGGCCGCCACGCCTCGAAGACAACACAGCAAACAACATGCACGTTCTGCTCGGCCGCCCACATGAGCCCCTCGGGTCGGCGCTGGACCATCCTGACGCCTGTCTGAACTTCTCACGTGGTCCTGTCTTTTTGTTGTACATTTGCGTTCTGTCGCGGCTGCTGCTCTTGAATATTGCGTTTCCCTTTGGTACATTGCTAGTTGCGTGAGTCTGACCATCGCAAAGGAATGGAAGCGTGAGGAGGAGGAGGAGGAGGAGGAGGAGGAGGAGGAGGAGCCACGAGCCCCTCTGCGGCCGAGAGCAGCACGCCTACCGCTGCGCTTGCGGGGGCGGCTCGAGAGCGCGCAGCCGCGACCTGGAAGTTGTGTGGGAGCGCAGTCACCGGGAGTACGGTCTCCACAGAGAGACAGGTGCACGTCCCGGCGTGGGATCGGTGGCACTGGCGCTGCACCGCGGCGGCCTGCGACACGCACGGCTGCGCTTTTGCCCCGCCGGCGGGGCCTTGCAGCGCCTGCGGAACCGCCCTCGCGACGCGGCGCGAGGAGGGCAGCCTTGACCTCGAGGCCCAGAGGCCGGGGTGCCTTCGGCTCTTCGCCGACGTGGCGGGGCGGCGCGGCGTGCCCGGCGAGGTGCGCGCGCGTTGCACGCCGCGGCAGCGCGGGACGGCGCGGTGAACCGGGACGCCAAGGCGGGCAAACGCCGGCGCTATCCCGAAGGCCGGAGGCTGTTTTTCTTTATATCCAGGCAAGCTAACTTGCATGGCGTTCCCCCCCCCTCCCCCCCTCGCTCCCCTTCAATCGAACACGAGCGTGCAAGTGTCCTTCGACTTGCGTGATTTCCGCCCGTCGACTTGTTTTCGGCCTGCTTCAGACTCAGCCCCCCCCCCCCGTCCATGCAAGTAAACTTGCCCGGGTCCAAAAAAAAACAAGCTCCCGGGCCCCCTGGCCTGTCCTCCCGCTGGCGCTGGAGACCGGGGGCTGGCACGGGCCAG